TTTCATTTTAGTTATTTTATTTCATTTAGAGTCTATCTAAGTCCTAGGTACTTCTGTTTTTTTAATTCTTGTTTTATTCAAATCATTGTTTTAAAAATATTTGAAAATGAATGAAAAAGATTTGCTTTTTCGGTCAGCTTATGTGAATATGTCATGCAAAATAAAAAATAATAATAAAAAAAAGTATTATTAATATCTTTCTCGAACTACGCAAGATCTGATTCATTAGTCAAACATGATACATAGGCAACCAGGGGGTTCGATCCAAATTATTATTATTATTTTTCTTTTCTTTTTTCTTCTTTTATTTTTTCTTTCTTCTTTCTCTTAAAAAATGATAATCATAATGATAATAAATAAATAAAATAATAATAATAAAATATTAAAAACTAATGAAGAGAAGAATGCCTAGGTAAGCCGGAATGAAACATAAGGTCCTCCATATTAGATTTATGTATGTGGATGCAATGTGCATAAAGGTAGTTGTTACTCCATTCAGAGAGAGAGAGAGAGAGAGAGAGAGAGAGAGAGAGAGAGAAAGAGAGAGAGAAAGAGAAAGAAATAAAGAGAGACATACTAGCTTACAGTTAGTTGGTTTGTGGTTAAACTGGCATCACATCCTTACAACACAAGATCGAAAGGGAAACAGAAAATGGCCCCCAAAGATGGAAATGAATCGGACAACGATGAGGAGATCCAAAACCAGATGACTTTACAAGAAACAGGGACAACAGAAGAGATAAGGTTGTTCAGACAACAAATGGCAGAGATGTACGAGGCTTGGATGAGTAGACAACCTCCACCGTCTTTAATCCGAGACTATTTTAATACAAACATGTCTCACCCTATCCAGGTGTCGACAAGCGATCCGATATATCCCCCTGGATTCGGCCCCTATGCTAACACATCCAATGTCGTTGGAACTTCTATGGTGCGCCCTTTGAATACGCCTGTAATAAGTAATCCACTCTTTGTGTCAACTGCCCCGACTAACAGCATCCCACAGCCAACGATGGTGCCCAAATTCAATAGCGATCCTCCGCCCAAAGTTCGGCGTGATCAGAGTTACACTCTTGAAGAGGCCATTAAAATTCCAAGCTCTCATCCCCACATTCATCAATATAGTTCCCCTGTCGAAATTGAGAAGATGGTCAAGAATGAGGAACATGAAGAAATAACTAAGAAAATGAAGAGTTTGGAACAGAGTATAAGAGATATGGAAGGACTAAGAGGCCACAAAGGCATCTCGTTCAGTGACTTGTGTATGTTTCCTCATGTCCATTTGCATGCTGGTTTTAAAACTCCAAAATTTGAAAAATACGATGGTCACGGAGACCTCATAGCTCATCTAAAGAGATGTTGCAACCAATTGAGGGGTGCAGAGGGCAAAGAAGAGTTACTTATGGCCTATTTTGGGGAAAGCTTAGTAGGGATTGCATCTGAATGGTTGATAGATCAGGATATCACCAATCACCAACTGGCACGCATGGGATGATTTGGCTCAATGTTTTGTACAACAATTCCAATATAATATTGACATTGTTCCAGATCGCTCCTTGTTAGCCAACATGAGAAAAAAGACCACGGAAAATTTTCGTGAATACGCTATCAGATGGAGGGAACAAGCTGCTAGGGTTAAACTACCGATGAAAGAGTAAGAGATGATTGACGTTTTTCTCCAGGCGCAAGAACCTGATTACTTTCACTATCTGCTTTCTGCCGTAGGGAAGACATTCGTTGAAGTTATTAAGGTAGGGGAAATGGTGGAAAATGGCATCAAGTCTGGAAGATTGTAAGTCAAGTTGCCTTAAAAGCCACAACACAAGTACTTCAAAATGATTCTGGAAATATTGGAGGGAAGAAGAGAAGGGAGGATGTGGCCACTATTGTATCAGCGCCTAGGACTCATGTTCTAGGTAATTCCCCACAACACTATTTTCCTTCCCAAGCTCCACAATATTCTGTCCCATACACTCCATATCATGTTTTTAATGCACAACCAATTGCACCCCCTTCTTATCCACAATGGCATGCACCAACTCCACAAAATCATCCACCCCCCCACAAGTTCATCGAAATACTGCTAGAATTCCTTTCCGTCCTAGACCACAATACAAAAAGGGAAATGACGTCAAAGATGAGTTCACTCATATTACACTCATATTGGGGAGTCGTATGCTAGTTTGTTCCAAAAATTAAGG